AGCTTAACACACGCAAAAACGACGATAATTAATTAATAAAATGCGTCAATTAAATCTGTAATTAAATATAAGGTATATCTAGATAACTAAGGGTTCAGGACGACCGCATCAATTAGAATTGACTCCCCGCTATACTGAACCATCCCCTAATTGTAAGAAATATGAGTGCAGCATATATGACTACTTCGCAGTTGTTCGTTATATTCAAAACGTATGCCATTCGATGTACTGGTAAAAGACAAAGGGATACGACAACAGCCGTAGATGCTTGCCTTGATACCAGCTAAGCCTAAAATCTGATTAGTATATACGCTTTTCTACCCGTCCTGTGAACCGCTAAGTGTCCCTGAATTGTAAATATATAGAATGCTCAAATGTAGGCACTACAGTTAAGCCTATTGCACAAAAGCTTGCTCATCGATCAATGTTTTCAAAAATCCAAGCCTAGATGTCGCACGCCTTAGGATGCATAAAACTGATTTCGTTGATTTCTCAGAATACTGCAACATCCCCCGATTCTAGACTCTGTTGCATTTATGGAATATGATTTCTATAAGCATTAAGAATTCTTAACTTCTAAACCGGAGACTTTATAATAATGACGCAGAGATATCTGAAGTCATTTCACCCTTTTCAGGTCTCACGTCCATTGCGGTGAATCATTTCGACTCCTGACTAGGGATGCGATCTCCGTGTTGACGCGGTTTAGAGGAACAGGAAAAGAGTTACTCTTATCCGCTCAAACCGGAGTCAGGGACGCACAAATAATCAGTGTTTCTCGGGTTAAGAGATATTTACAGTATGGCCAACTTTTTGTAACTCTGATACGCCTCAGAGTGAAATCCGGAGATAGAGTCAGAATCGTGCGGATTTATCAGTGCTACTTGTTGTGCTTATAGGCTTTGTATATTTTACGAAGTCTGCGTCATATAGATACGCCAGATCCTAAATGTGCCTGAGTTTCGACCCATCTAGAGAGTGTACCTATAAAGTGTTACACCTTTTTGAATTTCTTAATAAAAAAATTTAAATCCGTAGAAATATATTTAAATTTCAAGCTATAAATTTTAATGGCTCTGAGTAGGCAACCCTTCCAACGGCAACATGTACCGCGAAGTGAATATACTTTCACCAATAAGGTGGTTATTTAGGCTGGGACCTATTAATCGACAGCCAACGTAGAAGTTTAGGTACTTTTAACTATACTAAATAGGCGAGCCAAGCAAGCATATTTTCGCCTGTTTTTTTTGCAAGTTGGAACTTGAGGTACGCTTCATTAGAGACATATATTTGCATCAAAATCGGCAAGACGCCATTAAAGGAATGTTGTTGGCTTTGACTGCTACGTGCTACGAAGATTTTGTCACAGTCGTAAGTTTGATGACTTGAACGCCGTCGGACAGAGATTGACTATGCTTAAAGTCAAAGGATTAAGTCAGAATGAATTGGCCTGTTGAAGACTGCCTTGAGCCTATCGTGGACACAACGGCTTGCTGGCAAGGTAAAATAACATTCGCGCTAGATGTTCATCCCAACTGCTTGAACAGTTGTGAATCAAATAGATAATTGTGTAAACGGGGTCATGATAATGTACCACTTCACCAATCGCATCGAATCAGGTTGAAACGTAGCACCGAAAATTTTATATTAAGGTTCATGCATCATGTTATACACTAGCAAAGCCCTTGTCGAAGCTTCGGAGAATTGCCTCTAAAGCAGTAGGAACAATTTAGGACAACTGAACAGTGTTCCCATGTCTTGAAAATGCAGGGCTAGGAAGGCCCCTTGTCCAGTTATTCATGGATGCATTATACATCGATAAAAATTCATTCCAATCATTATATTCTCACCTATGGAGAATATAATGTATAGTTCACGAAGATAAAAAAAGGTTTAACGCATTTTATGCCATTTTTCACATCCTGTATTGAAATTTTTCCTAGTTCCTAAGTTTATGATATTCCTACAGCTTTTTTCAAAGTTTGGAATTATACACATTCTCATTTCATACCATTCTTATTTTGGCTTAAATGAATTTTCCTAAAGATTAAGGGTTGAGACTTTACTATAAATCTATTAGAATTCGTGCAAAAATGACATCTCCTGTTGAAAATGTTCCGTTGGATCTGTGATAGCTGAACGATGACGCTTACTGATTTACGGATAGTATCAGGTTCACGCAAAATAATTACCTAAATGCACTAATTTGTTCTCGAACTTTATATCTTGTTTCATCGTAACTCGAGTCTTTCGATTCTATCGACTTACTCTTCCCGTATATTCAGAGGTATCAATATTCACGACTTGAAGGGCTGGTACCGATTCATCTCAACTGCTTAGTAAAAAAAAATTGAAATAGAGTACATCTACCTTCGCAGCGGCAGTAAGCTCCCTTATAGATCCTAGAATAAACTAAACGATCCCTATGGAATACGGCAGGTTTCAAGATCTTGCGTCTACATCGTGGATCTCATTATGGGTTACCCATTGGTAAACTGGAGAAGCTTGTAAATTGAAGTCTAATTCATTCAAGCTTAGTTTAAGAACCGAAGGCGATTGCAACAGGGTCGATATTTCTAAAGATATTAACCCTCTAGCGTCTATATGACCCAAAAATTCGAGGTCCGAACAGCAATAGACGATAATAGGCGTTCTGCACGTCTTGAGTGGAAGATCACGTGCACAAACGATGTGTAATTATGGGTCGTTATTATAGAATAGGACAATGAACAATTCCGTTTCAGCTTTCTTCAGGTTGTTTCTGCAGTTCATCACTAGCATGTCCTAGTTGGCAAACTGTTATGTCTACGAGATGATACCTTTGGTAGCTAAATGCACAATAATAATGTCTGAGGGCGCCACTATATTAATATTATACCTAATAGCTGATGCGATTGTGTAGCAGTACAGTCGACAGCTTGTGCAGGTTGTCGACAATTTTTCTAAGTCTTATATTTTTGCAAGGCTTTCACAATATTATCAAACTAGCATTTTCTTGTAAATGTAGCTAGGTGCCTGTATAGATCTTATGAGAGAACATTATAAATAAGAAGTGACTGCCACTGCAGCTCAGATAAGAGTCCTACCATTTCGTTGACAAGCTAAGCCCTTAGATCAACGTCTAGTTAAAATCAAAAACATTTTATTAAGAGGTTAGCACGCACGTGAAAAAAGCTTTCAACAAGTTTCTAAGGGAAGTGGAAGAATATCGATTGCTGATAGGGTACATATTATCATAAGAACAATTTCATTTATTCTCATTATTTGTGTAGATTTTCGTGCTGTTTTGACAACAAAAAAAGTATTTTTATAAAATGTCTATGTTATAGAATACGTACGTATTCATGATAAAAATCAATGTAGACATTGATAAACATGCGCGAATCTGATAAATTTTATACATTTACGCATTAATATCACAAGGCTATAAGCTCAAGTTTGCGAGTTAATTGGCCTATCCGACTTCACTACGTCGGCCGACGCGCTATCTGTATCTTCTAGTCTTGCAGTGTTTACGAATGAACTTTCCATCTGGTCCCTGGTATTTATGTGTGCCTTTCAAATTATGACTTACTATGACGGAATATGACTTATTTTACCTATTTATAGCAGTTCAGAATTGCTGAAAATTATGGTGAGCGTCGCGAAGAACGACGGGCCTCCCTATGTCCTGTTACCTCGTTAGGTGTCGCTCGGTGAGCGATAAGCTAATAATACTTTTAAGAGATGAAACGTTTGGCAGATTTATTCGATCAAACTATTCCACAATTAATATTATATAACGCTATTTGCAGATTCTGTCAGAGTCCTTTTAGCATTTGAGGTAATAGCACAACAAAGATCGATAACAAAATGGTTGCTCACTTCTATCGATGCTTTGACACCCCCCTTATCTCAAAATACTAAATCATAGCACAATTGTCTATGAATAAAATTGTTATATTTAACTATATTGATTCTAGTCTTATATGCGCGTGTTGAATAAATAGAATACTTAAAATAACAGTAAACTCTTACAGTAAATATTTTACAATAAATTTAGGACAGGCCAAAATGGCTACCGTTTAAGGCAAATAGACCACATTAGGACATTCTTCCAAATTTGTCATATTTAACAAGCTACAGAAAGTCACATGAACAAACGCTAGCTTTGTACTCAGTTGGATTACTAGCATTATTTACTAATCGTAGCACAACGATAAACAAGACATCGACTCAACACGTTTGCAAAAAGAACACAGCCCCAATATTTGGCGCAGAAACTACTTGCATCGTATACGTTGCATAATTTGCATTAATTTGCATAAAGTCCTACTCTTAAACCTTAAGTGGACATGACAAAATATAGGACAAAAGCGATGACGAAGATGACAACACACTCTGCTTGTCGAAATCTGTTAGAAGACGGAGTGAGTGGTTTGTGCGAATATCTGAGCGGCCCTTGGCGATTATTTCCCTCCAGCACTTTTCGTTGTATGCTCTACCATCTTTATTTGCTATAGAATTGGAAGAACTGATGAAGTCAAGATGGCTGCCAAGCCCGTAACCATTAGATACGTAACGTTCCGTAATGATTACGGAGATTAAATCGACTATCAAATCCACACAGTCCACTGAGTGAGGCTACTGAATCTACTCCGGTAGCTGAAAATTGGTAATATGTCAGGCCTGTGCACATCTTCTCAGCCGCCAAAAATCAGAGATTTATGTTCAGCACTTGTACTGATATACAAGGGATAGCCGGACTTGTCTATATTTGTGTTAAAGCCAAAATTGGAAAATTTTCTCCCAAAGCTTGGACTATCTAACGCTGAGTAAAAAGAAAATTTGTCTGAACCTCTTTTAGAGCTTAAAAATCCGTCAATTTCTATAAATTATTTTCCCCTGCCGAATTTTAATTCGGCATAGCGAAAGGGAATTCAGCTAGATCAAGTGATCTGGACCTGAATTCCCTTTCGCTATGGAAGCTTGGCTAGTCGCAAAATGTAGTGGATACAGACCCGACATGATTCCGCAACATACCTTCGGAAAAGTAGGTCGCGGGGTCAAGTGACTTCGGCTTGCCATAATAATGGCGGTGATTAACGAAGTTGTGGACTACGTTTTTTCGGACGTAACCTGCAAATACAGAAAAATCAGTTTCATTGAGTATTAGCTAAACCAGACACGAACGGTTTCCTCAAGCTAGATTAAGGTCTTAAAAGCAAAAAGCTTGCCAGAAGATAAAAGAAAAAAAGAGCGTTGCAAATATAATTGGTTATATTTTCAAAGCTAATATTATCAGATTATGATATATTTATACACCCAGTGCGAACATATGCTTATGTGATAGCTACTGGTAATTCTATTCCATTGCGACAGTAAAAGCATACATTATTTATAAAGTTAAAGAAATTGTCTGTACGCCTGAAACGACCTGCATTGACGTTTATTCTTCAGTTTACGGAACTTGGTTCCGTAAAGTTTTTTCGTATACAGCAAAACATCGCCCACAATATTAAAGTCAAATACTAACAGTGAGCGCAGGGAAAGTTTGAAACAAATGGCAGATATGTTTATATATAAGATAAACAAAATGACGTATATGAAAACCCTTAGAAACTATGTGCTTTTAATAGCTAGTCTTAATAAGTTTGCATCACAATATGATTGAAAATAGAAAATCGATGTACGCTACGTGAGTTATACGAAGCCAGTTTTTCATATTTGGTAAGACAGTCATTTATTATCTTGCGAAAGCGAAACATACTCGATACGATTGTAACTACTGAGGCCATTATCGGCTGTCTGATAACCTATCCACTCTGTGGTACATTTGTAACTACAACAAAATAGAGCTAGCAACGTAAAAAACAGGCCACCAGTCTACCGATTGCTATAATCGGTACGAACTCTCTCAGACGATAAAATAAATGCATGTTTTGGTAGGCCTTGGCAACAAGAAAAAACTAGTCTTTCATATTTGGGTAATTATGAAAGTTGTTCCTACTTTATATCGGGCCCTTGTCTACTACAGAACTAACAAAAAAGGAGGAAAAATCTTAGAAAAAGTAACAATACATTCAATTGTATCTAAAACAACAGTAGGAAAGTGTTTCCACAATCTTGAGCTATGGATAACGTTAAACTTAACGTTATCCATAGCTCAAGATTGTTGAGGCTGGCTTATTCCGTCGCGCGTTCGTGAACTGAAAGCAGCACTATGATACAGTTGCATTTCATCGCGCAACCTGCCGTATCTATTGTGTATAGCCTGTAGCATAAACAAAGCGAGCAATTAATTCCAATGCAACGCTGACAAAGTGTTTTCAACCTAGGTTCTTGTTTGGCTCCAAACAAAATTAATCTGATCATCAAAAAGCGACGCGAAATTCGCACGTTCCCAAAGCGTAACCTAATTAACGTGATACCCTGCCTGTAACACTAAGATCTAATTCCGATAGTTTTCAACTCTTATTGTCAATGACCATATGTTCATATCGTTCCACGGCGGATGTTTGTCACATAAGTTAAGGTTTATCTATTATTAAATGTACCTGAATGCGATCACGATTCATATATCATTCGATAGGTTCTATTTGTGGCCGTTTTTCATTAACGTATGATACTACGGTTTGCTGCATTTACAAAGATTTTGATATTTTCTAATGAAAAATGTCTACTAAAAATAAAAAATACTAAATGGTCGTATAAACAACAGAAATTATCTTTTTATAACGTCATTTTGTTCGCAGACGAATTTGTTAGTGTTTTGCTTTCGAAATTATTCCAGTGCCACCCTGTGCATTTAGCTTAATATCCAATATTGTTTATAGGTTTGACTCGTACCTAGTGACAGCGAAGCGAATTTGAGAAGGGGCGATCGTCCAGAGTCGTGAACTCGACTAGACTGTTTCTACATTGTAACACGTTAAATCGTTCCTTTTCAGCGGTTCAGTCAGTTGATACCAAAGCCCTCCGGGCGCAACATTTAGCTATTCGCCGGTTTCCAAATCATTTATCGAACACTGCCACTCTGTCGGAAAGGCAAGCATGGATACTTGTTGTATTTGGATCCTTTACACGCGCATATAAGAAGAAATGCAACTCCATATTTTGCCAGAGTGTATTTTGAGGTTGGGTGACGGAACCGCAAGAATAACTATCGTGGAACCTACTTTCTAACGGTGTTAATGGTTAAAAATACGACCACGTACGCTTTTTGGCGAAGTCATTTTCGACAACAGAGAAAAGTACCTTGATGGTTAATGAAAGAAAAATACACCTAGGCCATATTCTCATCCCTGCCCAGAAAGTACGTGCAGCCAAAGAATTCTTGAAACAAATATTCGATGGAAGGTTTTGCAATTGTGCACTTATGATGCTTTTGAAGGACGACAGTGGTCACCTTAGCCCAAAAAATGAACACTAAATAAGATTATCAACGAAATCCTCACAGTAACAAACTGGGCTTTGGTACACGTCGATCCATGCATGTGCAGACAAAAATGATTCAGTATCATCAAACATACTGATTTACATGCAACAATTTCCGATCCAAAAACGAGAAATACTAAAGTACGTGTTTCCGGACATCAGGTGCACCACACTATACTACTGCACTTAGCAAGTTCGTTTTTTGTGTTTAATCATCTCGATATACTTTTGCAAATAGTGGGTCGATACCGCTAAATAATTTAAAAAGTTAAAGTAAGAAGTTGCGTGTTGTCTATGGCTTTAACAAATGAACATGGGACACCGTCTATTTATAAAACGGATTAGATATGTACCCATATATGATCTAGGAACATTAACCAAAGTAATTTTGAACGCGCTGTTTTCGATGGTTAAGCGATAACAAAAATACGAAAAAATTAGCAGCGTCTGAAAACAGGAACGAGAACCAAACGAACAACAATTGAAGTACGATGTGATAGAGCCTATGAAGAGCAATCAACTTGAACCGGTCAAGAAACCGGACAAACCAAAAGTTTCTTAATATCAAACTAGTACGCGTTTCTCAAATGGGGAACATGTTTCCATACGACTGTTCATCGTATGAAGATTATTTGCAGCGAAAGCACGAATAACAATGTGCGAAGGCTTTAAGAATGCTAACCTCATTCTGTAATTTGGGGCTTGCAAGGCATTATTGCCTATAGTTTACTTTTACATCTGTAACTTGTTTTTTTTTTTTTAATATATATGTAGTAGTGTGCTGTTAGCTACTGTTCATGACCCCCTACGCTTGAATTACTGACGGGCACCGGAAGTGGTATCGGTGGTAGCATTTGCTGCTGAGATTGTATAGGCCATGGTATAAAGAATAAGCAGCTTGATGCCTTGTTGGCCAAATAGCACACCGGCAAGGAATTCCAAGACCAATCTTTCTCTTTTCTTGAAAATGTCAACATTTATGCCTTCCCCAAATAGAGAGAACGCTGCCAACGCTATGACGGGAAAGTCTAAGAATCGAGTCATTTGCCCCTATTATATCAGAATAGCTAAAATACTTTTCAGACGAAGCGAATGCTCGGCGAAGTCCTCTGTTACCCCTGCTCAAATGCACATAACGTATCTCTCAATGGTCTCTCCTCCGAAATTGAAACCTTAAACCGGGGGCTCTGTCCGCCGTTTTACGTAGCTGATAACGTCATGGCCGCTGCTGCACTAAATTTGTCCTATTTTTACGAATTCAGTTTGTTCATTAAGCCACCACGACAATAACTCTTGATGAAGTCTCTAAACCATTCTCCGTTTCGTAGTACTGCCGCTGCCGCAAAGAGGAGTCCAATTCTGTTCACTGGGTCAGACGTAAGTGTCGGGTGCGCTGACGGCGTTTGGCTTATGGCTCATTTGTGGTGCAGAATTCTGCTATTTTTTTTATCGAGCGGGATGGTTACCGAACGAGTTGACGCAAATAATTTGTCCTGCAAGCATTCCGAAATGGCCGATCAGCACATGTTATGCGACAAATTCTACCTTAGCGCATGCGTTCAGCTTCGTCGTATACGAGCACTGTTCGGACCAAGTAAGCAACTAAGCGCAGGTTCTCTCTGAATGGCATCTTTTCCAAAGACACCTGCAGAGTCGACGAAAAGTTGCAGTGACACTTTGTTTTTGCCAGAGTTAGTCACGCATGTACCGCATATCTCTTTCGGTCTACACAAATGTAGATACAATTGATTTAACGTCTGTACAACGCCGCCGCTGTCTATTAGATAACGACAACACGGCCGAAAAACGTCTATAGGCTGTCTTTATAGTAATTGGCAACTTTTCTTGGGTCGTCTTCAGGGAAAGAAAGCAGTCAGATGATGCAACGGGATATTCATTGATTAATAGTGCTAGTGATGGTCTGCATGAAACAAAAAGAAGAAGCAAAGATGGAGTGAATACGAAACGGTAAGCTTCTCCTTCATCCCCCCCCCCCTCCCCGTCTCACATCTTCATCCCAGCCATCGCCCTCCAAGGCTGAGGGTGGTGGAGTAAGAACAGCTGCTATATTCGGCGGCATGGACAGTGTTAACTTTGGTGGAGACACCTCACGCGCATCAGATCAATTGAGTGGACGCATCATGAGAGCAGGAAGGTTATAGGCGCATGAATTGTTTTGTTTATACAAAGATGCATGGGCCAAGTAAATATCACAGAAGGTCAAACTGTCGTGTCAACAAAACCTTTCAACGGTCACTGTGCAGCAGAGGAATATGCTAGTGCAAATGGAGGTAAAGGTGGACACGTAAACAGGTTCTACCAATAAGAAAATAAGAACAGTTATAGGAATCGATTTTGGGTTGAAATTTCCAAAAACGAAGACATTTAAAGGCAACAACGTTACAAAAGAGTCATAAAACTACGTATTTCGATCAAAAATTTATCAAATAAGCTTATATATATTATTATATTATATATATATATATATATATATTAGCTTATTTGATAAATTTTTGATCGAAATACGTAGTTTTATGACTCTTTTGTAACGTATATATATATATATAAATGAGGGGTGTATATTGTAGGTTGGGTAAAAGACCTAAGCGAATTGACCATGTCCTATTTTCTCTCACGGACTCTATATAATATAGTCTACCGTAATTTACCGGACGTCGATCCTCATCGCACAGTAACAGCTCAAGGAAAAAGGTTTGGTGTTGGCCAGTGTTGTATAACCACCTGAGTAGCTATGGCTTATTACCTATTGATATTACGTCTTACATAGTATATGATACTCTCCCTTCGACCACGAGGTACATTGTCTAATACTATATGCCTAGTCAAAAAGCAAGTAAAGATTACACTGATCAGTACGATGTAATAGCAAAGGTCTCATGAAAGACACGTAATCATTTACGTGTCTTTCATGACCAAATCTATCCTAAAAGAAACCCACGTAAAAGTAATTACTCTTTCAAACTCATTATATCTAATACTGCACCTGAGACTTAGATGTCCGATACATTATGTCAAATCGCGATCGTTTATAGACACGCGGGAAATTCCTATCTATAAGTATTGAGCTGACAAAATATTATCGGATAAACTCTATATAGACGGGATACTGAATGGTGACCACTCTAACGGTGGAAAAGTGCCGTACATGTGGCTTTCAATTAGGTAGCTTAACGTCTCGAGCTCTTTTGAACGCTCAATTCGTGGCGCAAAGTGTGTTAAGTTTTACAGCACACCGTCAGACAGACGGTTGACTGGCTTCCCGTTGGAACGGGTTGGAGCCTAGACCGCAATGTGTCCTTAGAATTAGCAGGCAAATACTATCATGGGAACATTGTTTTATTATTTACGCCTAGTCAAGCTAAATCACTCATGCGTTGTGCGAATGTAAGCAACAGAGGTCGAAAAAAACTCTTCGGCTGTTTTTGATTCGTTTGCTATCCACCAACTGCCTTGTGGATAACTAGGGTCTTCAACAGTGAAAGACCTTTGGAGTTTCAGTTGCCAAGATTAATGTTAATAAATTATGATTGTTATTATATGTAGTTTTACTTATTTGTGCTGTACAAACTTTAAAGTGGTTCCATAATGTCTACAATTAGATTGTTTAATTAGGTTTATTGAGTACCATGGATCATTTATTTTCATTTGGTTTTGGGGAAAAGATAGCTCCTGACTAATCGAAACGTCAGCAGAAAAAGTGAGCTTCCAAATGATGGAATAATCCTAACGACACGTAATTTAATACACTTTACACTGAAACATATGAACGAAGTGTTTTTTCATCTAACATAGAGGTTGTAATAACAGATTTAAGTATTATGCATTTGCCGCCTATCTTGTTAATTTCACACATCATGATTTGTACCGTTTCGCCAGTAATTATTCAGGTAACGTTGAAGGTCGCGACCAGTTAGCCTTTAAGACTTTCTGCATTGTAACGGGTATTGGTACGAATTTTATGACAGTGGGGTTAGATTATGTAGTAGGCCAGGGGTGCCAAGTTTAAAGAACGCTGTAGGTGTAAAAAGAATATCTGTGGAAGGACTTCAACGATGTTTATTATTCGCATTTCACGGAGTAGGATGAGTCTGCTTTTCCGATGGGGTCCCTTTTCCAGACAGACTCGTTCAGTACTACCTCTCGTCACCTATAGGAATTCAGTCTAGAAACGTGTCATACAAATGTATCTGCAGTACATCAAAGAGGAGATTTACAATGGCAGGGCCATGCCATTATATACGGAAAGAAATTAGCCATCCACAGTTGCCTGAGCATCATGTACAATATTAGCAGGAGTGCAGCTTTCGTGCATCTAATTAAACGTCTTCACATAAATATTAATTGTAAGTTTAATTCGATATAGCCCTGGGCCGAACAAATCTTCGGCCTCATAAATTATTTGGTCTAACATTACATGGATTTCAAGACTCTCTCTTTAGGTTTGCTCAAGCGAACGTCTATTCAATACTACAGTAGTGAGATGGTAGGCTGAAAACGCACTTTGTTTCTTTCAAGAACATAACGAACGTAGACTTTTAAAGAAAAGGTTCTGAAAGGGGACCAGGGGGGGCCCAGACTGAAGGACAATCAACTTATGTAAACGAATATAAACACCGGGATTTCTTATGATACAACGTCTAAAAACATTGCTTACCAAACTCTCTACAAATGAACTAGGTACGTTATACATTCTAGCTGAGCAGCCATTTGCAGTTGGGTTTTTGGGCAGCAGCAAAGGGAAACGTAGCACTATTGGTTTCTAGGGTAAAAAGGGGCCTTTATTTTTTAAAGGTGCATGTTTTTGATTTGAAGGAAACATCTTACTCTTATGATAGCAAAGAACGATACCGCCTAATAAACAGTGTACCATTATTAAGAACATGACTCAGAAAAGAATTTAAGATTACTAGCGTATGAACCATGCTAGGGATGTTTATATGGATATCGGTTTCTATCTAAAACAAATATAGTACGTAAGGGTGAAGTAACGTAGTGCTTTTAAGGAAAGTCAGAAATTGCTAGGTAAGACTGGCTTATATCGTTGTTAATGTTTTTACTAGCTAAACCTTTAACTAGCGTTAAATAGCTAAACGTTTTACTTTTTCTAGCAATAGGCTATGATTCTGTACAACATGTATACAGTGGAAAAAGCTGAGCTCGTTTATATGTAATTGTTCAAGCCTGACACGCAAATCTCTAAAAGTTCTATATAGATGGAACGATGCATAACAAGACCGTATTGTAACGGGTCGAGAAAATCACTTTCACTCAAGACAACAAAACTGTGAGTTGCGAATTCCTTTCAAGAAATAATACAAGTTATCGATATGTCGGCCCTGAATTGTTACTTCCAAACCGGACGATAGAGTTCGTATAAGGTGGATCCGGTGGCTATTTGTTACGCTATATCGGTCGACATGTTAAGAAATAGGGAAAACTTATATCTTTGCGCGTTCTCCACTTAGGGAGGTAAGCAAGCAAGCAATTTTAATTTTTGGGTGAATCATGTACACTCAAAATGCTCGCTGATAATCATATGACACATTCTCAGGCAATTGAAGATTGTGTTCTTCCTTCTGTGTGGTGTACATCTTCCAGTTCCAGTTTCAGGATATGCTCACTGAACTTCGCAAACCACCTTATACAGTCTTCACAGACATGGAGTCCATACCATACACGACACAAGCACTGGGGGCTGCTCTGACGGCGCTTTTACCTTGCAAAACGCCGACTATAATAGGTCTAGGAATATTTTTTCACAGGAACGTTCATCTTTGGAATACGAGAAGTAAAATTTGGTGTGCGCTTAATAAAACGCTTAGTGACGGGTTTCTGGACGAAAGGTGGCATTTTCGAAGGGCATATGAAACATGAACAAATAGCAACTGAAACGGTATTCATTATACGCCAACATATAATTAATTATATCTCAAATATGGTTCGCTGAGGGTTTGCTAATATTGGCTTGCAAGATCAACGTTTTGTTGTTAAAATATGGCCCGTCCTTTTTTTTTTTTTTTTTTTTATCTAACCCTTTCACCACAGAATGCAGCATGTAGAAAAGTCAGAGTAGTGATATGCTGCATGCAACGCTTTTTAGGCGCGTGCATGCTTAACCTGTGATTAGTTTAATTTTTCTAACAAGCTATATTAAAACGTTTAATTAATTTTTTTTTCTTTAAGAATCTGTTCGATCGACTTTAATTCGCAGAAAAATTAACTGTGAGAAAATGGGTCTTGCGCTCATGTAGCGGAATTATTTTAACCCAATTTAAGTTCCTAAACAGAAAGGTTCTAGTATGCTCAATCAAAGGTTATTTACATCGTTTGAGCCAAACGCCGAGAGGCCGCAAGTTGCAACTGTGTACTCCGTCTTGCAAGATTGATTTCAACCTTCGTATTGCCGGACATGTGGTGCTCAGAGTTCGAATTCGAAGGTGAGTACACTTCGTCTTATGCTGGTAGAAGCCGATCGTCTGGTGCGATGCCTAAATAGCGGACGTCAAATTCGAAACATTTTTACTTACTTAACTTACATTACTATTACTTAGAATTAACAAGTGATTCTTAAAGGTCCTGAATTCTAGTTAAATTTTTGTTATCTGTTAAACACTGTCGAAGCAAAAAACTTCAACGAAAACAAATGGACAAACATGTAGATGGATATATAAAGTTAACATTCGACCTTCTGGCAGCCATTTTAAATGTATTTGAACAACTTTTCTGATCAATTTAACGACGTTTCAAGTCGAAACGTCCCTACGACTGCGATGAATGAACGCATTCGAGCATTGCTATATATGTAGACGTCACTCGGATAAATAAAGTAATTGTGTAATCTAAATGCGTTTGTTATACATTGACTATTGCGATTATTTAAATCGCGAACAATTACTAAGTGGAACGACTATTGGGTACATATATCTTTGGTCTACTTTATTTTCAATCATATAATCAGTTTACTGAAATTACATCTGTAATGTCAGTAATGCTATTAATACGCTAGAGTAAAATGCACGGCGAAAACAAAAAACTATAAACATTCTTTGATAGTTTTATAAGATCCGCCTGTGAAGACGGTGCTAGAAATAACTACAGCATTTCACCTGTCTCATATAATGTATTCATTTTATCTGATATTAAATTTCTTTCATTCGAAGCATTCTACGAAATTTTCGAAGTACCTCTATCAACAACTAGCGCAGGGGAAAAAAATGGAACAGGGCTCTTCAGGCTGGACTAGAAGAATCATTTCAGCTTTCAGTTTTGTCGCTTCGAATAAGTTTACTGGCTAGCACTACTATGGCCACAACTACTAAACATATCATTTTCGTTAATCGAAAGAACCGCAGGCCGAATAAATGACTTCCTATATATATATATACGGACGTTGTCTAGCATGCTTCGTTGGCGTAAATTTATTGAAATAACAATCATATAATATTATATGAGAGTACTAAGATCGTTATCGAACGCATATGATAAATAAGAAGCATCATTAGCTTTTACTTTACCGTCATAAAACTGCATTAGAATTAGACCAAAAAATTTTTGCCCGCCACAACAGTTTCCACCAGCCAGCCCCCTAATCACCTTCGTATTATCAGTTTTACGCGCGAAAGCCGAAAAGTGATTATATGGTACGTATTTTAGGGCGTTATCGTTGCTATTTACCTTCCTGATCCTATACCAAGCATATACTACACCGCGAACTGATATCATCACCGTAGATGCTAGATCTCTGACGTGATCTCTTATTATCCGACCCGGCGCCCGACCTAATCGTATTTTTCCCGTTCCGTCTAACACGACGTATGCACCGATTTATCGCTTGGGCATAGGTTTTTGTCTGGCCACTACGGCCGGAACAGATTTTTATAGCAAGATACTTTGTATTGTAATTTTCTATTACTGTGCCTTTTCAGTGCATTGTAGCTTGACAACTGTAGGAAAATAAGTGGCTCGTAACAGCTACTTACTTTCGTTCGGCGGCTTTACATCCCATTAGACGAGACGCAACGAATTGTTCCTAGACTTGTCACTCTATTACGATCCAATGGTAGCGACTTGTTATACAGCATGGCGGTATGCAATAATTTGAAATGGCTTCATTGTACATAACAATACAATGATACTGGTAAATGGGACGAAGCTCATCCATCTTTCAAACGGACTGTTACTATTATCACTAGAGTTTTGGCATTACAATGTTGTTTTCAGGCGGCTTTCTATAGCGAACGGTATCGGGTCAGACTAATAATATTAGTGGTTTTTGTAGAAATGCGGAACAGACGTGGCATCTAAACAAGGCAAGATTTGTAGATCTGCCGCTTTAAGGCGCCAAAGAATTGCTCGAAAGGCCGTCTGCTTTCGCACGCGGCGATAAAGTGGCAAGGTAATACCAGCTAGCATTATTGAAATGTTTCCTTCGCTCATTAGCCATTGTGTTGATGTCTGGTGTTCAATAAAGTTTTGACATTATCGACTAAGGCCAATACGTTTCACCGTGATTTTGTTCGTTTCCGAAAGGGGCCGAAAGTCTAACGTCGTCGTTAGCGGAAAATTTAGGAAGGGAAAGGACGTTAAACGCTCTCAACGATTAAATACGTCATGGCGTCTGCGTTTTGTTCGTGCACGATAGGTAATATCGTATTTTCTACTAATTTTTTAACTCATTCATATTTTGATTTGTTTTTGCAACAACGAATTTCGACTACATCTGCCATTTAATCGTCTAACAGTTGCTTTCTTTTGTAATTGTATTGATAATAAATGCCACAATATTTAGTCAGCTCAGTAACGGCAGACAATTGTACTAAGTGAACGTATCATCTCGAACGCATGAGCGAGCACCGGTTGACTGCATCAGGAAGACTCACGTCAGATTAGAGTGGATTTTAGGAAGAGTCGCAGTCATCAGCGTGACTCTAATGTATCTTATGAACATTTCAAGCCGAATTTGTTTCGGCACCTCGGCAAGACCCGTGCGTTTGAAGAGCGGAAACAGCTTAGAGACATGTGGGATAGGTATTGATAGAAGCGTCACAATCCCCTTCGCGTGTGTTGTTGATAATTAAACATTAGTCAGCTTCAATTTACGATTTTATAATTCGTTCATAATTCTACGTAACTGTATAATTGATCGTCTTGTACAGGTAGAAGCGAACCTATCTGAACTCGAGAGGCGTTTCCGGCTGCTGAACTTTGAAATTAATCCGGTGCCGTCATTTCTGCTATTACAGTTGCTTACGTACCTGTCAGGTGAACGTAGCGATACGGAATAGAAAAAGGCATGTCTACGCATTCGCCATTGTATGAATGAATACTGTCTGTTGCTTAACTTCTGCAAAATATTAAAGTTTGAAATAGTTAGGGTTCAAGAGATCAATTAATCGTTTGGCTAGTTAAATAATTTATAATGAATTTGAGAGAACTTAAGCGAGGGATCAAAACACCTATGATTGAAGGAAAACATTCTAGGATCTTTAGAAAAATTGGAAATTGAGCAACAGTTTCCATTCCAGAAACCTTTTCTGCTTACTATCGAATAATCAGTTCCGTTTTTTCTACTCAGACCTGGAAAATTTTTAAAGACAGCTCGCTTGACGGTAGCGGTTGTTGTTGTTTCGGTCGGTATACAGAGGGCAACTCCGTTAAAATAGGAACCCAAGTGAGCTCCAAGGGTGAGGAAAAAGATTCAGATGTTAATAGTTTGATACCAGTCTCCTGTCATAGACAGATTCCTAGAAATAATGTATTTACCTTTAAAGCGATATACATTTTTTTCTATAAATATCTATTTACTTTTAGGTTCTTAGAGAGTATGGCTACCTCCTCATAGATATTGTTTCATTCCGTGGGTATTTATACGGACTATGGAGACTTCGATCGCCTGGTGAATATCGGGCTCGAATGGTTAATTTCTCAGGTAGCAAAGTTGTTGTATGAACAGTTTGGCTATTTTCAACATATTGCAGATCGAATCGTTCGATTAGTGGACAACCACAATTTTCTCCTTACGCCACAAGCAAATGTATAATTGTGAAGGTTCATTAGACAACTAGCAAATATCACCAGTCTTCACAATGGATTACATGTCCAAACCCAGTGTTAAAACAAACTCCAAAACTATTTCTACATCCGTGCTCATAGAGCAACTGAATGAGAGAGACCAAGTGTAATGACTGCGTTAAGTGAAACGAACAGAAAAGGATTTTATGTGATCCGCATCTAACTTTTATTCTATTGAGTGACGACAAGACCGCCTGCCGTGAAGCAAACCCGCCTAAAGTCGCTGAAGCAATATGAAGAGAAATCGAGTCTTCAATCAAGTCAGAAAGTGAGTCGACGCAAGGTTTGGCGAATATCACCCAAGACAGAATCCAGTTGTTTACATCGCTCAGGTGCTTTTTTGATCCAAAATTTTCATAAAATTGCATAAAAGAATTTAATACTTCATCAAAATGTAAATATTTTAAACTCCTGTCAGATGTGAATCCTCTGAAACAGTAATCAATCCAGACCGTAAATACATGAACCCTCAGAATACCATATGGCCAAAGTCAAGGGTTTTTAATCGCGGCTAACTCCCAGTCTCTACTTGCCGTATATTGAATCACTTAGAACCTGAATCGTAAAATATGGCTACGAGTCATCCAAGAAGGGGCCTACGGCATCACTGAGTCTACTTAAACTCCTGGGCGAAACACAAAAAAATTGGTGAAGTTGGACTTCAGTACATTTTTTTAGGGTAGAGACACCCTACGTATAATTTGGTACATTCTTTTCTAATAACAATTTTTGTTCAAAGTCATGTATCAAAGGGTTAGCGGATGAGAAAGACACAAACTTACAGAGTTATTGTCTACCGCTTCAAGAGCTTGAGGATGCCACTTGAATCAACTGAAATGGCAGAAGTCACATAAAAACATGTTAATCAAATACTATAATTGATTTCTATAGTATAATTAGATATCCATGTATTAATGATAATATAAATCGATCTCTTTTTTTTTGTGTATCAAAACGGCCCGTAAAATGATATGAAACAGGGAAGATTGTATAGTCGGCAACGATTGATCCTAATAGAACTGATCCACCTTAGATCAATCTGAAGCTTACCGATTCTGTGAACCCCCATAGGTGAATGCATGCAAACCTTTTCTGCTATGAATACTACATAGACAGTGGAAAAACTTAATTTTGAAGATTAAATATCCTCCGTATCATTATGCGATAAATTGAAAGTTTCTTTCCAAAATATTTGTCAAGAAACATGCTAATAGTTGCTTTGGCGCTGTTATACACACTAATCCTGATTATTCTGAATACAAAGTAAGAGAAAAATGCTAATTGAAAGTTACTTTGGGTCAGTCTTTGAGCTGCCTTGTAAGATACATATTTGTATGGGAGACACCCATACAGGCTTAAAGATGTCGAGGGATCGCAACGTTAATTTACATTATGCTGAATCTGGAAAAATAAAAATAACATCAGTAGTATAGAATGACGCTATGCCATTATTTACTAGCACACGTTTAACGTATGATCCGAATAGAGCTTTTCTCAAACCTACGTTGTATTCGAATAAAATGTTCTTAGTTTTAACTGGCTTCGCACCAGAAAAAAAATCAGTAGGTCTTTTTTCGAACGTGAACACCAGGAAAGGCCCAATTACGAAGCCTGACCTCTCGAATTTGCTACTACAACCTGAAGTTCGCTGAGCAAGCGATCGATGGGAGAGGAGTACAGAAAGGAGAAAAACTGCCACCATCTTGCTACGCTGAGGCTGTCACTGGACGCTTGAAACATTGTCGTCGACGTGGCTTTCCCAAAGATCGAAAGCGCCTCATCGATCATTATCGGCGTACATCGTACCTCTGAACACGAAAAATCAGTGGTTATGTCAGAGTTCCTCTCGCGATTCAGCCGGCATATCCGGATTTTGATGAGGCGCACGCTGATTAGATTGATGAAATTGGCCGCCTATTTGCAGCTGACCCGTTAGTTATCTTAAATCCGCTGTGCTTAAACAGGTGCAACCAACGAGTCTTACCGAGATTTCAAGATAACTCAGCGATTTACACAGGCTTACAATGATCTACATATTTCATTGCTCATGGATGCATCGTTTCAAGGTTAAGAACGGGGAGAAATCCTGAGATTTTGCGGTCCGTTGCGAAAGTTTTATCCCTTTTCCCAACTGGCTATCGCGACCTTTTGTGTGAACGATACTTCCGAGGTTCAAAGGCTAAATTCATTTAGCAATGTACCCACTTACTGGCGTCATTAGACTCATAACAGGGATATGATCATTTTTCTTTGTTTGGTAGCTATGTCGGCCACGAAAAAATGTATATGATAGATTTGTACAAGCCAATGATAAGTTATTACTTTGTAGAGTTGATGTCAATTGCCGCTATTTTGTAGTAAATGTAATTATTTTCTCTCCATGTATGTAAATATTTAATCAAATGAAGTTTGCAAGGGTCGATTCCTTATTCATGCACTTCGTTTCGAGTTCCTGTATAAACAATCTAAAGCATCCTTGTAGTCTTAGATTTAATACGCGAAAGCCAGCCTGGTAATTTTTGTCCTGTGGTCTGGACAACCTAAGATGCCATCGAACTCGAGGCAATTCACATACACACAACGATACATAACGCCATATATCGATTGCATCACTACAAGGTGAATAAAGCTGTGAAGACTACCTTGAAGAAACTATTAGCACAAAGCTTGGCCTTTCGCTGTTGAAAACACGGCAGATATCACTGGCACTATACGTTATATATATACAATAACATATCATTAGCAAAGGAAGTATGCGAGTCCCATTATATGATGTCCTTTTATGTTTCGAGTTTTACGTTCAGTATCGGCGCAAGGCATTCCATCAAACAAACGGCTGGCTAATTTTTGCCACGAAACGAAGTCTGCCTTTAGCCGGGTTCGAACCCACACCACAACGTGTTCCTGTTATTAGTACCCAAATAGGTTACCCACTGAACTATCACGATGTTCCGGTAAATTATGTTCAATCAACGTTAATAAATCGCCTATCCGGAATTTATCCCGCGTGTTCAGCGCTCGTTTCTCTTGGATAAAACCATCTCGTTCTAATAGCGGAGAAAATAACATATAGATAGCTCAAGTGCAAAATATTAGTTTGTCCAGCATTCAATGCTCTACCGAAGCCGACGCACTTTCGTGTGAGCGGGAGTGGCTGTTCGTGATGGAACAGTGACAGTTTTAGTTCCTTAATATCCGTGAATCTAAGAGTTACGGAAACACGCACGAAAATGGTGCAAGGACTCATGCGTACGCGTTGCAGCAATCAGTTAGCGATATGTCTCTGGTTGTTATGGGTATTTGCTCATTACTTTTAGCGAAATGCAGGCAGGCGGAGATCGGAGTAATCCAGAGCTTAGGTTCGTATCTGGAACGTTGGAGAGGACGGGCGTTCTTTACATAATCCGATACCCAGAAAGAACGACTTATTTTCGTTTAGCTTATTGATGTTGATGTTTATAGTGGAACAGAGGTTTGTAACGCGTACATACGCTGTTGTGCTTGAGCTGATAGCAGGTACAAGTTAATAACAGACAGCAAGTGTGCTAAAACGCGAATATTAGCAAGTGCTTTCCAGCGTTTAGATGACTGGCATCACTTTCACGTTTACTAGAACAGAAATGCAACTTCAATTCGCGTAATAAACCGTCAAATCGCTACAATAATTACAGACTAAGCGACGCAGCAGAGTACGAATAACCGTCGAACGTAAAATACACACACCCCAACTCACCGAAGTGGATCGTTTTTTTTCAAAACGATCTAATTACGTCAGTTAAAATTGCCGCACCGTCATCTTCAACAATACAAGAGAAGGCCAGAAATAACAATAATAGCAACAATAAACAATTAGGATAACAAAGCAAATAAACTACACAACAGTTCCAACATTGCATTTCATACAAAATAAAGAAAGGAAAAATGTGTGGGACGTAAAATCGTCTCTTCAGTTAGTGGAAACTATTGCTCGAGGTCGCAAGGCTCCAACTGTTGCTCCAGGCAAGCAAGCCAAACAAAGGCCTCACTCCT